CTGCATTCTGTAACTTGTCACGGGGATGAGCACATATGCAAGACGAGCCTTATCTATCTGCCACTTAACAGCCTTTAAAAATGGTTTCAAGAGGACAGTAAATTTTAATCCATCACTTGTGTACAAAGCAAAACCCAATAACCCTCCAAAAAAAAAAAAAAAAAAAAAAATTAGAACAACCTAGTTACGGCAGACGGTGAAAATGACTTGACACTACACGTGTGAGTCAATATTAACTGGCGATGAGATACTTGCCGCACTCATTAGAAATATCATAATACGCCAAGGAGACTCCGTGTGCCGCTGTATTTAGGGTACAAGGTCCCTTATTTTCAGACAAGTGCTGTCCAAATGGTTGCCCTTGTCATTTCTGTTTTAACAACATCTGCTAGCTTGCATAAGCTCTGGCCTTGATAACTTGCGCTTCTCCGAGCCTGAATTGTTCTTGGCAGATCTTCCTCTTGCAGGTTTTCCTCCTGGAAGCAGATAATAATTTATGCAAAACAATTAGTTAAAAAGAAGAAAGGGGAGGAGACGCAAAGCCCTCTTAAAAGCGCAAAAACCGTGGAACAAACGGAAAATGCGGAGGAAGAAATAAGGGTAAACGATAAACAGCAGATACCAGAATTACTACGGATACGAAAAGTCAAGTAGTTGTATCTTTTCAGCTGTAAAACGCAATAAATATGTAACCGCATTTCCAAATTTTAAAGTAGCGTTTTAATCTCAGTCAATAGAAAGCAATAACAGTTATACGACTAGGAACCAATATTGAACCAGAACAAGAAATCAAAGCTATTTCTACATTCAAGCGTCGGCAGCGCATTTCCTTATCCTCAAGTTTGCAAATGATTCTTAAAGCCTTATATATGCAGTTATGCGGAAGCTGATTACCAGCAATAAATAATGCATCCAAAGGAAGAGGCTTGAGTACGTATCCTCTCACTTCCAGGATGCGGCTAGGGATCTTCGCCTCAATTCTACATCAAGGTTGTGGCTTAAAGCAGTCAAGAGGCTATTTAATTGTCAGGCGAGGCTTCCCCCCGCGGAACTCTCTCCGCATGTTACAACCTCTTTGCAGCTCAGCTCCATATGCATCTCTTTTTCACACTTCCCTCTCCATCTCGGGCTCCTACACCTGGTGCATCACGCATTTAAGCCCATTAGCTCCGGCTCTTCCTTTCATCTTCCCCATGGCAGACGTTTCTATTTATCCACTGGCAATCAATGTGTGGCGTCACCGGTGGTACTGTAATGACGACTGCACCATTGAGGATGACAGCTTAGAAAGAAGAGGGCAATGGTGATCCCTCCCAGAGCAGCACAGCGGAGTGGAGCGCTCGCATCACAAGGTCACCCTATCTCACCGCTTGCTCCTCTGCATTGGCAGGAGAGGGTTGCTGGGTTCGTACGAGGCTGGGGAGGGAGCGGGAGGGAGGGGGGGAAGAGATCTGGATTTTTTTTCCCCCCTCCCTTAAGCAAAGCCACAATGGAAACCAGGAAGGAGATGGTGATGTTTCTGGAAGGGACACAACTTGGCGCTCTAGTTGGCAAGAGGGTGCCTAATTTGTCCGAAGCAGTGGGGAGCCCCGCTCCGGAGCCGCAGGAGAAGATGATCCATCGGAACTGCCTCAGCCCCAGACCTGGCCCCTTGTCGTCCCGGGAGAGAGGAGGAGGAGGAGGAGGAGGAGGTGGTGGTGGTGGCGGAGGAGAAGACGAAGAGGAGGTGGAGGTGCTGCCAGGGACAGGGACGGTACCGGAGAGCCGCTCGGCGGCGGCAGCACTGCTTTCGGCCGGACAGCAGCCCCCCGCCCCGGACCCCCCCTCCAGCAAAGGGCAGCAGAGCAGCTCGCACCCCGAATCGGATTTCTATGAGGAAATCGAGGTGAGCTGCACCCCGGACTGCGCCACGGGGAGCGCCGAGTCCCAGCACAGCAAAGGTACCCAACTCCTTCCCATGCCTCCAGCCC